AAATAAGTTTAAACCAAACCCTCACTGACCCCTGTAGCTGCAGGCACTATGAAGAAATCAATTCCTGAAATTTACAGCAAAGTCACTGAAACCTCAGCTGAGCTAATCATGCTAATCATGCTTACTCTGGCAGCAGAGACTTGGCAGCTTGCAATCCTTTAAATGTAAGCTAACAACAAATATTGTAGATAGTATATAGAATCCAACTGAAAATTACTCTACAGTGCATGCAGCTGCAGAGACCATTGATAGCTGTTTGTAATGCACACAAACACAATATAATATTTATTTTTTGTAGAATATTACATCATGTAAATAGATGCCAAATATTTCAGACTTTGATATTGTGTGTACATGTGAAACGGCAGTGAACTATGATACCTAAATTGTCAATAAGCGATGCTTTACAAGACTATACAACTCATCAATTGAGAACTATAAATAATCGTTTAAAAATAATTGCTGTCTCTTTGGCATGTGTGGTGATAATCAACATATGTTGTGTAATCAAAGTTTACATAATTACATGCATCCTTAGTGTGTATATATGAGGTGGCTCTACAGCCACTATGATCACTACTTTCTAAAAGTATAGAGCCTACAGAATGATGTTAAACAACCTCATGGCTGAAATTGCCTTTGAAGCATGAATCTTCAACTCTATATTAAGGAAGTTAAACTCAAATATTAACACCTTCCCGTCTGGCCTATAGCAGATTGATGGAGTGGGACACTCCTTCTTCTGAGTAGACGTCATATGATTTCCTGTCAGAAGAAGCTGCTCACGCGGCCACAGGGCCATACTGCATACTGCGATCTGTCACCAACCACAGGACAAAGCGGATGACAGATCACTACACCGGCCTACTGCCAGTGTCATGTGATCACATCACAACAGATCACATGACAATTGTGTACAATGGATGACTTCCTTTTATGCTATCCATTGTACACAATTGTGTTGTTATCTATGATCGGTCGCAGTGATCACATGGTACAGACAGAGCCAGTGACAGCCCATCTGTACCATGTGATGAGCTTTGACCAATCACAGCTAATCACAACAAAAGACTGAATGAATCAGTTTAATTCAGGAAAAATGGTTGCTAATATCAATGAAATACACTGGTACAAGCAATCATAATGTGTAAAAAAAAAAATCCTGATCACTTGCCCAGAGTAGTACAATGTTTCTATGGTAACATTGTATTATGATACTCTTGTCACAGTGTGTTGAAAAAAAAAATAGTAAAAAAAAAAAAATTATATATATATTTACATATATATACAGTATGTATATATATATATATATATATATATATATATATAATTTTTTTCCCAATTATTTTATTTTTTATGACCTTTTTTTTACTATTTTTTTAAATATATATATAAATATATATACAGTATATATATATATTTTTTTTTTACATACAGTCACCAGTCAGCCTTGATCACCACCATTATTTATATGATAATGCTGCAGTGGACTAGTGATAATATGTTTAACCATTAGCCGCCCGGCCTATAGCCATTTGGCGGCCGCAAAAGTGCTGCAGATTTCTGGGGTATACGCCATTTGGCGTCCTCCCGCACATGCGCAGTTCGCGCGGTTGCAGAGCCGCGCAGCGGAGCGATCTGTCACCGGCCGTGTACCTCAGACACGGCCGATGACAGATCTGAGTACCATCCCCCGTTGCCGGTACCATGTGACCTGCTGTGACCAATCACAGCAGGTCACATGACAGTTGTATACAATGGATGGCTTCATTCATGCCATACATTGCATACTAGTGCCTAGCTGTGAATGGTCACAGCAGGTCACATGAACATGTCAAAAAAAACCCTGAATGAATCAATGTCATTCAGGTAAATGCTTGCTTATAGCAAAGTAATTCTTTGCTATAAGCAAATTGTGTAAAAAAAAAATACTGATCACTTCCCCAAAGTAGTACAATGTTACTATGGTAACATTGTACTACTTTGGTCATAGTAAAATATGAAAAGAAAATCTTAAAAAAAAAAAAAAAAAATGTAATAAAAAATTAAATATAATAAAAAAATAAAAAAAATAAAGAAAAAAAAATATTTTTTTTTTCATACTGTCACCAGTCAGTGTCCCTGTTCACCGCTATGCCAGTTATATGATTATGCTGTACTGCACTGCTGACAGTATGTAAAAAAAAAAATAGTTAAAATAATTTTTTACATTTTTTCATTTTCCGAAAAATTATGACAAAAAAATTACAACTTCAAAAAACTCGCCATGCCTCTTATGAAGTACGTCGGACTGTCTACTCTGCAAAAAAGGGTCATTTGGGGGATATCTGTACTGTTCTGACATTCTTGGACCTCAAGAAATTAGATTGGCTGTCAGTACTTAAGGATTGATCAATTTTCAGATCTATACCATAGTTTGTGAACTCTATAACCTTCCTACAAACTAAATAATACATCCTAATTTGCGTTATTTTCACCAAAGACATGTAGTAGAATACATCTTGGCCTAAATTTATGAAGAACAATTATTTATTTGCAAACTTTTATAACAGAAACAAAGAAAAACGTGTTTTTTTTTCAAGATTTTTGGTCTTTTTTTGTTAATTTAGCAAAAAATAAAAACCCCAGCGGTGATTAAATACCACCAAAAGAAAGCACTAGTTGTGTGAATAAAATGATAACATTTTAGTTTGGGTACAATGTTGTATGACCGCGCAATTGTCATTCAAAGTGTGAGAGTGCTGCAACGTGAAAACTGCCCTGGGCAGGAAGGTGTAAAATTGCCCAGTATTGAAATGGTTAAGAATACATATTGTTATTTTCTTCAATTGTAACAAACAATTACAACTCCAAAAAACTCACCATGCCTCTTATTAAATACCATTGACTTTCTATTTTCCAAAAATGGGTAATTTGGGGAGGGTATTTGTACTATTCTGGCGTTTTCGGGCCTCAAGAAATGAGATTGGCCGTCAGTACATCAGGATTGATTGATTGTCAGAAATATATACTGATTTGTGGACTCTATAACTTTCCTACAGACTAGATAATATACACTAATTTGGGTTATTTGCACCAAAGAAATGTAGCAGAATGCATTTTGACCTAAATTTAGGAAGAAAGGCTATTTATTTGCACAATTTTATACCAGAAACAAAGAAAAACAAGTTTTTCTTTTCAAAAGTTTTTCTTTTTTGCTATTTATTTAACACAAAATAAACAAGTCAGTGGTGATTATATACCACCAAGAGAAAGCTTTATTTGTGTGAAGAAATAATAAAATTTTTTTGGGGGGTACAGTGTTGCATGACCTCACAATTGTCAGAAGTGCAACAACGCTGTAAACTGAAAATTGGTCTGGGCCGGAAGGGGATAAAAGTGAAGTGATTTAATTGGTTAAAAATTGAAATGATTAAAGGAAATGCTGACTGTAATGATAAATAAGGCCAATGATTAGGGATGAGCTGTAGGTTTGGACTGAACTTTTCTTGTTTGGAGGTTCAGCAAACAGCCAAACTAAACTGATGTTTGGTCAAGTTGAACCTCTGGCAGCAGCAAAATATGAAACATTTAGCAGCGGTATTACTACTGCTGATACATTTGGCAGATTCCCTTCAGGCTGAGCCTAACAGCAATGGGGTTGATTTACTAAAGGCAAATTGGCTGTGCACTGTGCACAGTATATTTACCTTTAGTAAATCAACCCGTTTGTCATCTCCACCCAGCCCATTCAGCTGTCAACTGGAGATTCTCTGCTGATAGCAGAAAGTAAAAAAGGAGCAAACATTTGTGTAAAATAAATGTTGTGTCTCCTCCCAAATAGTTATTCCAAAACCCTTCAGGTCTGGCATAATATTTAAGGAGGACTCAAAGCAAAGAATAATGTGTTGCCCTCCATATATTCATACGAGACTCAAAGGGTTTTAAGGGGGAATCTCAAGCAAAAACAGGTAAAATGTGTGAGATCCCCCAAAATCCACACAGATGCTTATCTGAGCAAGTGCAGCCTCCTGAACAATACCAACCTACAACATGAGGGGTATCTTGCTGGGGGGCACCTTCTCCCCATGTTGATAAGGATAGTGGCCTCTTACCCACAATCCTAGCTTTGTGGTTGTGGAGGCCTGTGGACAAAGGGGCTTTAACCTGTCTGAAGAAATCGGGGCTTCAATCTGGAAGCTCTCTAGAACAGTGGTTCTCAACCTTCCTAATGCCGTGACCCTTTAATACAGTTCCTCATGTTGTGGCGACCCCCAACCATAAAATTATTTACCCAGTAATTATAATTCATGAGTGTCGTTTTACCTGCAATACTGCTGCTTTCAACACAGTAGCTGCTTTTAACAGAGTAGCTGCTTTCAACACAGCAGCTGCTTTCTACACAGTAGCTGCTCTTTACACATCGAAAATATGTGTTTTCTGATGGTCTTAGGCGACCCCTGTGAAAGGGTCGTTCGACCCCCAAAGGGGTCGCGACACACAGGTTGAGAATCACTGCTCTAGAACAATAAGGGAGCCACCAGATACTGGCCTTTCTCTATGTGAATAAGTAAGGGGTACTCATTAACATAAAAAATGTAAACAGCAAATAAACACATTGACTTTAATGTCCTAAAATACTTGCATTGGACAACAGCTCCTGGGGCCCATCACTGAAAGTAGCGGAGTCTTCCAGGTTATCTAATCCAATGCTTGAATGGTGCCTCAAGAACACCAATTCCCTCCATCCTCTTGTGTTGATGTTCATCTTCTCTCTCCTGTGAGAACCATCTATGTCAACCATCCAATGGGAAGTGTCCATATCACATAGACAGTAATGCGGATACCTGGAAAAGAAACTGAAGCAGGAAGTAAAAAAAAAAAAACAAACCATTGCTTAAGGTAGGTAGAAAAGGGCATTTAGTTAGGGATTTTTTTTTCGCACGTTCGCACATCGCTGAGCAAAGTCGCAAAATCGTTTTCAGTGTCTGATGATGAATTTTCCCACAAATCATTATCACTCAATTCTGCAAGTGGTTCTGATTTACTATTGCTGTTCTCTAGCTGGTCTACAACCGCTTTTGACATAATGGGACGCTTTTTGGACGCCGTGGACTTTTCTAAGTTTCCAGGCAGAAAGAACAGTCAAAATGCAGGCAGGGCACAGGAAAAAAAAGCAGTAGGGACAAAATGTATGTGAAATGCTTTGAAACATCAATGTTTTACTATGTAATCATCGTTTAAAAAAAAATGAAATTTAAAAAAAAATTTCAAATTTGCCGCCGGGTCCGGCGTTCATATGTCCCGACGTCACAGGGACTGGAACATGAAAGCCAGGTGCCGGCATCGGCTGGAGGAGATGGCCAGGGACACTGCAGGGGTCAAGGTAAGCGCTGCAGTGAATCCCTGAGCAACGCCGCATGGTAAGCACGAGTGTAGCTCGGGGTTACCGCTTTTGGTACTGAAACTCTACCCTGAGCTACACTCGGGAATACCGCCAGGGAGGTTAAACCAAGCTCAGGTACATTCAGCTTATCCCTACCTATGATGTGTAAGTCATAGACCTCTCTTTGGTGTAGCACATCTAAAGTTCATAGACATGGAGATGACGTATACTTCCAGGTCAGCCAACAGTGTAATACATTCTGATATCTTCGGCCTAATGCTAAGTTTTAAATATTACATGCGGTATACTGTTAATCCTGAGTCCTTTCAAGAAATAGGAGTATGAGAGGGTATTCATTGTGAGACTAAAACGTTTGGTTGCTGGTTAACGCACTTTATCCTTTTTCCTTTCTCTTTTATAAATATGCCTTAAAAAGTGCCTGACTTTTCACTACCAGGCAAATTATTTGTAAATGAATAATGATCTAATTACATATTTTTAAAACGAGCAGAAACAACGGTCTTGTGTGCAGATATGAAATCATCACTCTTATGTTACGGTTAAGGCATACCGTTGATTAAACAGTGTTGATGGTGAAGCCTGGTCCTGTTTGAAGTAACACACAATATGGAGATTAATTAATAAAAGAGAAAATTGACATGTGCATGCACAGTGTGTTTGATGATTAAGGCTTTGATTAATTGTATGGCTTCCATTCTTCTGTGGTACGTAGTACACTCATGAATAGGCGAGTAATTGTGCATAGAACATCATACATAACTGTGTTATGTCCTAACAAAAGCTCATTCATTTTACTTTGACATCTGTGAAATGGGAATATAAGTGTGTGTATAATATTTAACAAACACAATGCAGAGTAATGCATTGCAGCCCTCCACCAGGAAAAGAGTTCTGTATTTCTCCGTTCATTTGTAGATGCTGAATTAATAGTGATGTGGAAAAGATTAACCTTTCTGCCCTGGGGAGGAACTACAATCTCTCAAAGGTATTAGTTTCATTTAGGATCCCATACATTATGATAGTGTCTAAGCAGTTTTTTTCCCTTATGCCCCAGTTCCCTTGATAACTGGTAGCTGAGAAAGCCATATGTACTGAAACTCCGCATGCTACAGTCTAGAATATGTCATTTTATCATGGGCTGTAATCATCCTGTAGAGTTTAATATCATAAACTGAGTTAATATTTCTTCTCTTGAAGAAAACATAAAAAAACAGAAACATATAGCCAAATGATGATGTCCTAATGTAATAAATAACATGAAATTTACCTTGGCAAGGCATGTGTGAAATGAGATGAACTTGATAAAAATAAACTGCTTTGATTAATGTAACTATATTTCATGCAACGTTGATTTTTTGTGCCAATGTTATTGAGCATATGTTGTGCTCTAATGAGCTCTAATGGTAAAAATGTAGGTAGCTATAGGTTGCATGGAGATATGTTGTTTAAAGTTTAGTCTTTGATCTGCTGAAAAGTATTAAGACCCAGTGCAATTTTAAAATGGCATTGGAACTCAGAAACTCCTGGCTGGCATTATCCATTGAATTACTGCCTATTAGTAATTAATTGGTCCTGGACTTCTTATACTGGTGCAAAGGTGTGCTCTATAGCATGGACATAGGAGGACTCTGCAGCAGGAAAGCAACATGACAATGGTACTTCTAGTCAGTATGAAGGCTAGGACAAAACTTATGCAGGTCTGTCCTGCCTTGCTCTACAGGAGTAGACCACTGTTATTGTAATATATTACTGGCTAATTATAGGTAGCAATAGATCAATATGTGTGCTGTGTTGCTGTAAAGCTATATAGAGGAGCTGCGTTAGGTCTCCACTGGCTTGGTTCATAACCCCCATGAAGAAAAAAAGTATAAAAAATAAATTGTTTGTATATCTTAAGACAATGGCACATTCCTCTACACATGCAAACAGTAGCTGCCACCAAGTGCTTTAACAGAAATACACACACCCCTCTTAGTCTCTGTTATGGTAATACTGACCTTTAAATTGGTTGTAAACTCAGACATGAAATCTAAATAATGCACATCCTTCTATACTGTGTACTCATCTCTGTCCAAAGCCCTCAGTGTGATTTCTCTCTCTTGCCTATATATTCTGTTACCTCTGACAGTTTTTCTCCAATAAGAGATTATTGGTGATGGGAGAGGAGAGCTCCAGCACACAGCCTGTGATTGACAGCCACAGCCGCGCTCATTTTCTGTGTAGTGTGAGGAGGGGATTGTCCTTTCCCTTCAATTAGGGCTCATAGTTCTTCATCCTTAGCAGTGCAGTGTGAATTCAGATCCCACACTCTGCTTTGTGCTGTTGAGAGTGCTGACAGATTCTGTGTAAATCCTATGTGTTTTAGAAGGCTGTAAAAGACAAATGGAAGGCAGATAAACAGGTTTTACTTATGTAAGAGGGCTTGTTTCATCTCTGTGTATCACCTGAGGCCAGTCACTTCACTGGGTGTATGGAAGAGTTTACAACCACTTTAAGAATGAAGGAATGTCTTTCACACCCAATGCCATACCAGATAGGGTAAAACAGATTTTAAAATATGGTAGCTTTCTCAAGAGACAAGAATTCTTTAGTTTCTAACTAGAGCAATTAGTGAATCAGCTTACCTATTTTAAAATATAGTATTAATTAAAGGAAAAGAAAATGGTGCAAAAAAACAATTACAGACAATATATTAAAAAATTAAAAATAGACAATATCAACAGTAAAATAAATAGGATTAAAAGTGAATAGTATTTAAGGGTTTGCACTAATCCTAGATTCTGGCAGAGTCAAATTCACTGCAGCATAAGTCCAAGTCATTGGCTCTCAGGAATCATGCTTTGGCATTCATGCATAGTTTCAGTGGAACCTTGAGAGCTCTGAGCTACAGATTCGGCAGGTTTTTGTTGATGCTCCACTCCTCCTTTCATCACTATGCTAACCCATCCAACCAAAAGGACAGATGAGTGTGATGTAGGAGAGCTACATGGTAAGTGTCTCTGGGTAGAGGGGAAGCAAACCAGTGAACGTCCATTCTCTGATCTCCTCTAGCTTGTAAAAAGAGAAGTGTATCATGTATATCTAACAGACCCTTGATTTTTAAGTAAAGAGTACTGTACCTGTTGCAAAGATGCAAAGTCATCAGCACTCCAAATGAGTGCATTTCATGTGTTTTTTTCTGGAGGCAACAGCGCATATGGCATAGGAAGCTTACTTTTCGAGGCCCTTTCTCAAGGCAACTTAAGGCAGTCACTACAAGGTCAGGAACTGTGAGGATTGCTGCTTCTATTTGGACTTCATTAAAGAAAACATGTCACAATCTATATTCTTTCTCATAGGGGACTGTGTCCATAGACTCATATTTCACTGGTGTCTATGTACACAAATGTTCATTGAGGTACACAGGTGACATATTGGTATAATTTTAGGGCCATAATTCACAGATTGTTCTGAGCTGATAACCTGAAAAAGCTTTCAAAGCATTGCCTATGGAAATTTTACCAAAGTTTGTTACCATTTTATGGGTGCTTGAAATTTCAGGGCGTTACATGTTGGGTATTTATTCATTTGTCACAACCTCATCTTTTAGTAATATGTTACCTTTGTGTGGTATACAACAAACAGAAAGCATGTAAGCATTGTGTCACACATTCTTTAATAAAAAAATAGTAAAATGTGGTGCTCACAAATGTTCTTTATAGGCTTGCTATATCACATAAAATGGTATCCAGGAAAAGAACTTGTGATTGCTGGAGCATGAAGGTGAAGTGGCTATGGGGACCAGTCTAGCAGCCAGTAGTGAGCCAATGGGAGAGGAAGATTGGGTAAAATTGCTATTTCTGGTATCCTAGGCCTAAAACAGCAAATTTAATTATGATTTACTTTTGTATTAGGGTACATACTGAATATGACTATGATTTTATCATCAAGATTTATGAAATATGAATGGACTTTGAAAGCTGGGTTTTATGAAAAGGGCAGCTCAAATTTGTTTTCCTTTAACTGCTCTGCTAAGTTATTTACAAAAGGCATTAAAGCCTTTTAAAGACTCTGCTGGAGGCATAGTATATTTATGAGTGTACCTAATTAAACAATTTTTGCTTAAAGCTATGTACAATGGCTAATTAGCCATTCCTTAATTCCATTAAGAGGATTGCAGATCATCATGGGTAAGTAAGATGTATGATCCTGCTGGAAATTTTACTTATTCAACTTGATCTGCTGAAGCTGGTTGTACTCTTGAGTGGGGGGTGTTATACAGAATGTGTAAGGTCTCTTCCTTGCCCTGCAAGATTAAATATAATTGTTTGTCACAGACTTGTGACTGTTGGAAAGATATTCCTTACTCAGTGTGGTTTTCATGGATCTCATTCTCAGAATCTGTCTGAGCCAGTTTTTCTCTCTGTACTCAAAAAAAGAGTTGGTCTTAATTAGCTATATTTTTACATTTAGCACATTCAATGCCACACAATGTAAAAGTGGCACATTCAATGTGACCCAATGTAAAATTGGCACATTTTAGAACTATTTGAAATTGGTGCACAGGTCGCTGTCAAAACCAAAAGTGATGCAAAGGCTTCATGAAGTTTGCGCAAAACATTAGCAAGAGGGTTTAAAGGCAGAAAAGTGGTGCAGCAGCTTTATTGAATTCTCCCTGCTATGTTTCACTGAATTATTTTCCTCTTACAAAACATGGACATAATGGAGCAAATCATAAAATGTACTTCCAAGCTGGTCTGTGTGCTCACCAATTCCCCTCGTAATTTGTAGGCTATTTTTCACACTCCTGTAAAATAAAATGTGCAATATTCTGTAATAGTGCCTGTAATATCTCATCCAAAACATCTTCTGTGAGATATGGTACTGATGGAAAAGGGGTGGAGAGGTGAGCCAAGCTAGTGTCCTTCCCAGGGTCCCAGAATGTGTCTATTAGAGATGAGCGAATTATTCAAAAATTCGGTTCGGCTGATTCGCCGA